AGGTGCATTCAGGCTCATTGTAAGAGAGAGGCAGAATGCGTTATTAGAGGGAGGAATGCACCATGAGCAGGTGGACTCGGGGCTGGCTTTAGTCACCTCTAATTCACAACGGTATATCAAGTAAATCTGAAGCCCATATGAGAATGCTAATAGCTCACACACAGTACATGAGCACAAGACACATTCATTTATTTCAAACATTATCATTCAGAGAGCAGAAATACAGCACACACAGCTCTGGCCTCCAAACTAGCCTATAACACATCAATTATCCAAAGTTAATCAAGTTGAAACTTGTATGAAACCTCAATTTTTCAGCAGTTTATCAATATTTGTGGCAATTTTATTATGAAGCCCATTCATCCTGGTCAAGCTCATGTTAATTCATCATTTTACTGGGGTTTTCTGTTGTCAGCTGCTGACAGTGACAGAACTGAATTCTTTTTATGATTTAAGAAATTAAGACATTACCCTACAAGTTGCAGCAAATCACACTCGTGCACAACTCCCTTTCCTCACGCTGCTCGCATTACATTGTCCTTTGAGTGTCAAAAACTTTTTACTAAATAAATTTTTAAAAAGTTTGTGTAGCTCAAACTGATACAAGTAGTAGAGATATGAGTTTTCCACCTGACGGGTAGATATGCTACATGTATGTCTTTATTTAAAAATGGGGAAATATTGAGCTAAGAAAGTAATAGATGGCATCTTTGTGAAGGAAATGGACAGGTGAGTTAAATCACTAACGAAAGCAAACAGGGAGTTCAATGTGGAGATGGAGAGAGAGAGAGAGAGAGAGAGAGAGAGAGAGAGAGGGGTGAGAGACATAGAGTGATAGATCATCAGTATGTATGTGTGTGCCTGTCCATTAGAGCTGGTTTCAGCCTGCAGCAGCATCACTGTAATTGCCTCAGCTGTCAAACCAGTCAAAGATCCTCACATCACTGCTGTTGACTAGGCCAACAAGCTCTCTCTCTTTCCATTGCACATGCAATATAGGATAATGTGTATTAGGATAGGTCAGTCTGTTTTCATTCCCTCCAACTTGCTTTTAAACTCTTGTTTGTCTGTTTCCGTCTTTGTTTTTCTTCTTCTTAACCGCCGCCTGCTTCAGCATGTGCTCTGTTTTTTACAGATCAATAAGTCAGAGCCATTGTGAAGTGTCTGTTTCCAGCACTTATTACATCATTGGATGCTCAGCACTGCACGACAGCAAACCTTCACTCACCTTTAGTCCACCTCACGACTCCTCTGCACCGCCTATACCTCCAACCCAAAATAAATACCACAGTTAGCTTTGACAAACAGTGAACTCGGACATGTTGACAGAAAAGCCAAAGGGAAAAAAATAAAATAAAAGAACAAATAAAGTATTTCATATTTTTCAAATGTGGCTTTTCCTTATCAAATGTACACAGGACATGGAAAGTAATTTAGTCTGATATAAACTCACCCGGTTTCATTAAAATACAGTAGAAGTATCAGATTAGCGGGATGAGACCGCATAATCCTCACACAAACCAGCAATCTTTCTGCATTTTCAAGTGACATCTTGACAGTAGTGATCTGTCCTGTTTCAAGCTATTTTCACTTAAAGAAGAAAGTGAAAAATCCACCGAATCTGTATTACAAACGACTTAAGTGATGTTATTTTGACTAGAATAGAACATTTGCATTTAATTTCATTTGCATAAGTATAGTACTGTACAGCTACACTGGAATTCTTGGTGTGTTTACTCAGTCAGCTTAATCAAAAAAATAAATAAATTATGAGCTAATAACAATAAAATAAACACAAAGAGTAGAAAAAAAAGGCATTTTCCGATGCAATACTCGACTAAATGACTTCTCAAGGTAAACTGTATCCGCAGTAGAATAAAACAACCAACTAATAAAGTGTAAACACCCTAAAAATAAACCTGATAACAGAAATGGACCAATGTGAAACAGAAATGTCTTCTAAAGTGTGTGCTCATTACTTGGGTGCAGCCAAACATGGAAAACCACTGCCAAGGGAGCTTTTCTCTGTCTGCTAATGTTTAGCTCTTCAGATTGAAAATCTGAAATGTAGAATTACTTCTCACCAAAGTATCTCTGAGAAGAGCATACATTTTCTCTAGCCAGGGGACCCTTGTTAAATGAAGGACATTAACAAAGGAAGCCTGGAATGATCACTCTCAGCCAAGGTACCAATGCTGGCTTATGTCTCTGTCTTTTGATCAGAGAATGTATGCATATAACATGACCTTTGTTATGTGTGCCGTTTACTGGTACGTCATAAATTGTAATTCTGTCTGCTTTGCCAAAAGCTCTCTTTACTCAGTCTCGCTGGCCAACGTGGCCCTGGGCGAAGCGCTGCGCTGATCTAACACCACTAAGCTGTTTAATCATCTTATATTGTTTTCAAATTTGAGTCACAGATTTAATGCTGTCATTTTTTTATTTTTCCTAATTCATTGTATACAGTATACACTGCTTTATCAAAAAATAGATTGCATCACAAACCAGCAAACAACATTTTGGAGCTTTTCTCTGCAGCCATAGTCATCTGCTGCTGGCATTACAGTTTATCAAATACTTTTATAGGTGAAAGTACATACAGTTTCACTAACATCTATTTTTAGCCAAAGCCAATTTGTGATGCCTGTCCCTAGAGGAATAAAACACAAGAAGTGATATGATAAAAATACCATTAAAAATGTAAAGTATTGTGAAAATGGATTGATCCACACAGAGAGGTTTGATTCTGCACTATTGGTTAGGTATTTACCAGTAATTTTAATCAGAATCAGCTTTCTTGGCCAGGTATGTTCAAACACACACGGAATTTGACTCTGTTATGAAACAATATATAAAAGAAACAATTTATAAATATATATGCATATACAGTATGTGCATAGTGGCAGAAGAGCTTCAGATTGATTGAATGATAATGAATAAAATGATTACAACTTATTTAATGTCTTAAGATCATGACTATGGTGAGCGTATAGAAAACTATGCTGTTATATAGAGTATCATCTTAAGAGGCTAGATTATTGTAGAAGCTTCTAGTAGAACAATAACAACAGCACACACTCTTCAGTTCTGAGTTGTTCTTTGGTCAAGGCTAAACACTGAATTAGCAAATGCTATTTTTAACTTTGTTATAATAGCTTTAACAGCAGTACAACCACAGTAATCTCCTGATTTTGATTGAGCAACTTTGGGACTGAGAACCTTGTTCACAGTCAATTCATTATTGATCCACATAATAACAGTCTAATGGTGGCTGCTGTGTCAGGCTACATCCATCCTATCTGTTGATACTGTGTTTGTGCAAATGAGTGTTTCCACTAGTTTTACTGTTTCCAGCATGATTGAAGTGTGTTTATGCTTCTCAGGCTGGAGTCACCAACTCGGACCCTGACCCTGGAGGCCCCCAGGGGAGTGGAGGTCAACGCTGGAGTGGGAGACTTCACAGCGTCCTGTAGGAAAGACCTCCTCTTGCAGTCCTCAGAAGGAGAGGTGAGGATGTGTTTCTATCCATTTCTTTGTTTGTTTGTCCTTTGAGTGTTTGTACGTGAAAATCTCTGTCAGGGTGCAGTTCATCTACATATGTGTGTGTCTGTGTGTGTGGCTTTTTCTGCTTGTGAGAAAATCTGACAAAAATAGCTGTGTCTATGTGTAGATAGAAGGGACAACAAACTACCAGAACCAGTGAGGTGTGTGTGTCTGTAGACTCTGGCACTCAATGGTGTTGGGCCCGCATCATTAAAGTACCTTATTAGGCTAATGAGTGTCATCAATCCAGACGACCTTGTCCTCATTTCTTCCCTCCTACTCATCCCTGCTTTCTTCCCCTCTTCTATTTGGGGGAAGTGACTTCATTAAAGCTGGTTATATATATATATAGTGTGTCTGTATCATTGTTAGCTTCCTATCTCACTGTCAAGCTCTTTGCATAGCAGCCTGCCACGTTGCGTAAGCACTGAGGCAGATTTAACCATTATCCTTGTGCGTGTGTGTGTGTGTGTGTGTGTGTGTGTGTGCATCATACTGCAATGCTGCATGTCCACTGGAGCATAGTGTGTCATTAACTCAGTAATTAACAGAAGAATGGCCCCCTCTCCTCCACTGCACTCACTGTCAGTGTTGGTTACACACATAGCCTTCTGTTACAAACACACACACTTTCACCCATTAATGCACAGCCCCTCATGAATCTCTCACACACACACACACACGTAATGAGATCACAGAAATCTCTGAAAACAACAGTAACATTTTATGGTCCTCTTCTAAACTAATTTTTCAGTTCAGTCAGAACAAAAATATGGATCATCCTATGGCCTGACATTTTGCTGAACATCGCTCATGCAATGACAGTCCATTAAAGAAGGAATAGAAGCTACTGAACATACCATCAGAGGGGGTGACGGTCTATCAGGAAACCCGCTTGATTTTTAAAATTGATCCTGGTTTGAAAAAAGAAATAGATTATATAGTCTTTTTATAACATCTTATATTATTCTCACTGCAGGAGTTATATTATTTTGATGGAATTTGAATTGTGTATGATACTGGTGTCTGGATGCCAGTGTGGTTTGCTCTGTAGTGTTTGTAATTACAGTCTCGTACTTCTGGGATACCATCTATAAAGAGCGCCAGGTGCAAACACTCTGTTTTAATGTTTCCACTCTGATGAAGACACCATGAGGTTGAAACCAGCCTCTTTTTTTGTTTGTTAGTTAGTTTTTTTGTGAGATGCCCGATTAAATAAAGACTTTTAAGCACACTCCTGAGGCTTAAAGAATGTTTTGGTTTTCAAACGTCAGTTTGCTCATTTTTCTTCTCTTCTCCTTCTGCTTTTCTTTTGTCCTCCGTGCTTTTCCTTCACATTTCCCTATCTCATTTGTCTACTGTGCCTTACTGTTAAAAAAGTACCCAACTTCTTCTATACGACCAGACAATAGACCTCTGAGTGATCGTCTTTACATGTGATGGAAAACCTTCATAGGACTTGGGTAAAAGCAAAAAGTATCATAACTGAACCCAAACTGTAACAATACCTTGAAGCTGAGTTATTCATGTGATAGAATGATGTGTAGATGTGTGGGTCTGACTCCTGGTCAGTTTGGACCTTTCTTTATAGAGTTTTCCATGTCCTGGTTTCTTCACATGTGCACGTAGGTGGGAATGTGTGTCTGGCTGTATGCATTAGCCTTGTGATAGACTGACAGCCTCTCTGGGCTTTACCCCAGCAGCACTAAACAGAGTTCACTGGGAGGATAAAGAGAAATTCCAGAAGTACTGAAACCTTAAAGCTAGTCCTGGTTCCAGGTATTTCTGGAGCACACACATTCAGAGAGGCACAGATGTTTTTATCCATTATGTTTGTCTTTGTCATGCACTTCTCTGATGGAAGGCAGACATCTAATCATCTGCTCAGCAGTGCACAAGATGCATTCAAGTGCGTCCTTGAGCCAGCCAGAGAGACTCAAGCTAATACTTTATGATTATACCTGAGAGACCCTTCTTACACTGTTGTGTTTGTGTCTCTCATACTGTTATAGTTGTATAATTTTGCAGTTGAATTGATCACAAAACCAAAAAAAAAAAAATTTTTTTTACAAGGCCCTTTGCTTCATTTCTTAAACTCCCCCTTTAACCCTTACCGTGTCAATCCAATCTCATTTTTCTCCTGTGTACTATCTCTCTCCTTTGTTGCGACTCACCTCACTCCTCACAATCGCTGTCTCCATCCTTTGTTCTGCTCTTCTTTTTGTTTTTGTTTAACTTCCTTCTCCTACGCCACCTTCTCATCCTTCCCTTCCCTCCTCCTGCTCTCAGCCTTTCAGTCCTTCATTTCTAAGTAACTCAGCCTATCTAATTAACTTTCCACTGCCGATGTTATACATCACTGTGGCTGTCACTTCACAGGGGAAGGGGAGGGGAGAGGGGATTATAATTTTTACCTCTTTTCTGTCAACTCTCTTTCTCAGCCTCATGTATTCTTTTGTCTTTTTCAGCCCTTCGTTCATCCGTTATATTTCTCTCTCTCTCTCTCAATCTGTCTCTCTATATATCTGTCACCCCTGCTCTAAATGTCTTCTTGCTGGTGAAGAACAATAGCAAGAAGCAGACCGCTGTGGTGTGGGCCTTTGGTGAGACCTGATACCTTGAAAGACTTGAAAAAATAAAGGGCTTGTGGTACTTTGCTTCTCAGCCTTGTTACCCTTTTCTCTGCCATTTGTCAGATATACAAGAAAAAAAAAACACTTTTCATTTCTGTACAGCTTTATAAATGCCACGAGACCCCTCGTCAGCGAGTCTAAATGTGCTGAAAGTCTCCAAATAATTACAGTGTCCAACAGGAAAGGTTGTGTGAGCTTGAGAGTTACTACATCGATGTGTTAAACATCAGCTATAGAGCGCTCTGTAATACTTTTAAAACAAGCAAGCAAGCAAAAGATTGAAATATAATTAATATAACAATATAAAAATAATACAAATATACCCCTGACTATACTATCATTTCTCCTGGTTCATTGTCTGTAACAGTCATTTTGCATGTTGTCACCCACTGAACTGGTTGTTATCAGCTGTTATCACAGCCACAATTATGCTTCAGTGGGAGAAAACTGAACCTAGCAGTATAGGTCAGAGGGTGCATGTCACTGATACGTATGCCCTGCATTCTCAAAAGTCAAGACCCGACCTGAGGCCAAAAGTCATTATGCCATTTCTCAGGAAGGCAACAAACTCTTTTCACACATATTTTCCTCCTACAAACAAACACAATTACTTTATTTGATGTCTTGTCTTAGTTTTTTAATAATATCTGTCCAAACAACAAGCGGTCCTTGACGTTTTCCTCATAATTATTCTTCTTCACATGCTGAATTCAAAAACACAAAAAAGATGCGACCTCTCAAAGTACAGCCCTAAATTAAGCTATTCACATGGTACATTTCTGCATGCAACTGTGCCCTCTGGGTGCAGATGGTTATCTTGATGATTTTTGCCTTCGGTCGATAAAAATATTCAATTCATTCAGTTGAAAAGCTAATTGTTGTAAGATGACGTCTTTAAAGAGACAGGAAGGCGGCAGCAGACATATACTGCACAAACATTCATGAAGACACAGGAGGATAAGCAACCTGAAAGGCCAAGAAATGTGTTCAACAAACAGAAACTGGCATTCAGGCCACAGAGGATCAGTGCAAGTCAAATCACAGCTATGTATGTGTATTATTTTACAAATGTTTTTTTTCATGCCCTGGCCCTGTGCTGGCTCTCTTCTCTCGAGATCTGTACTTCTAAACCACTTTGTGACAGCGGCACCCAATGACGCAGTGTCTGGCACGGCCTCCTCAAGAGGCAATCTACTTCATAAGGGTCCATTTTATATGAGGGCATGTGTTGTCCTACAGCATAGAGACGTTATTTGATTGCTACTGAAGGGACAGCTTCAACTCCACAGCAATTTTCCTGACATTTCTGAAAATTATTGCAATCATCTGTGACACACAAGTTTTTCGGCAGCAGACATATACTGCACAAACATACATAGATAATGTTCATACTCTTAACAGTGCTTGATGTAACACATCAGTGATTCATTACAAACAGCGCAAGAAAGCGTTGGCATTTCACACAAACATCCTGCAGCTATTCTCTCTGTTAGCCTCATCCAGCTCAGTCTGCCCCTTGCAAACATAAACCATGAACAAAATGCTATTTAATTTTCCAGCGATAACTCCTCTGATCAAAAATAACTGTTTTCAACTTGAGATGGTTCACAACTATTGATCAATCAGCCTACGTGCTAGGGCAGAAAATGTCTTTTTATCTTGAACACATAATGGTTTTCCAACTTCTAATGATTTTAAATTGCCATCTTATTCATCGGTTAGACCAAAACAGATTGGCAAATAACATTTCCATGGAGGGAAAATACAATATGTGCACTGCAGGGCTGTACTTTTCTTTAGCTAATCAAAAGTTAATATTTAGTAGGACAAATAATTTGTAGAATTGGTTGGTTATAGACACCATAAAATTATGTTAAGTTATTTAAATGCTTAATAAAATGCTGAAAACAGATGATAATAAGATTTTAATAACAGTGTTTTTGTATTTGTTTAGCTTTGATCCTCTTAAATCAACACGACATTCAGAGATAAACAAATGAAGGGATGCTGGTCTTATTTAGTTTAGATGTGGTCTTGCAAAATGCAGCAGCTCCACACAGCAGTGAATATTTAATAGCAAAGCTAAATGAAGACATTGGGCAGCAACACCACGTCACTGCATCTGTGCGTACTGCAGCGTGCCACCGAAATCGTCTCTCCCACAGTCTGCAAAGGAAGTATCACTTCTCTCTGTGCCAGCCCAGAGTGTTTAAAACAAGCACCAAAGTACCTATACCCATCCATAAAAAGAACAGCTTATCCAAATGGCACTCCTCTTCATCCATTCTCATACAAGCTTTCCCCGACTGCTGACACCATCAAATGAACAGA